GACAAAAAAAACAAATTCATACGCTGTTACTAGCAAACAAGCTTTGGAAATAATTAGGAACACTTCGAAAAATCAACTCAAAAAAACTAACTACACTACACAATATTAAAATCGAATAAAATATTTACTGTAATTTCAATTATCGAAATGGCGTCGATAAAACAGTGCCCTTTTCACTCTTCATTATTTGATTAACGGACTGCCTCGTTGGTCTAGTGTTTGTAGTAGTGCGATTGCTGATCATGAGATCCTGGGTTCGAATCCCGGGTCGGGCCAAAAAAATTAATTATTGAGTTTTTCCATCAAGAAATTCTCAGTAGTTGCCTGCAGTCAGAAAGTTGGCGATGTCTCATCCCCGTACCTCGGAAAGCTCGTAAAGCCGTTGGTCCTGCGCCTGATCTCTCTCCGGTCGTGTCGGTTTACCGTCCCATTGGATTATGTGAGTGAGAGAATAGAGAGTGCACCTGGGCACTATAATCCTGTCCGGCGCCGATGGATAGCCTCTGATGAGGCAGGCCGCCGTGGCCGAAATTCGGTCTGGAGGACATTATTATTATTAATTCATTGACTGATGAAGAGCTATCGTATCACAGAACCATCATCATGGCACAAGGTTTTTAGTTATAAGAAAGTGACTATATTAACCTGATGACCGTATTACCCTCACGTACTATATTAAATCCTTTTTTACAGCCTATCCAAAGTCCACTGCCAAAATGGACCTCCCCTTTCTTTAGATAGCCTTGTAAGGAGTGTTTTGCCATAGTTGTCACGCTTGGCAGGCCGGTTGACAATAGCAGCATTTTATTTTTTTCAGTTGTCATCGGGAATATTCTGCTGCCTATGACCAGTTTCAGTTTCGCTCTGTCGCCTCTTACGACACCCTCGGGACGATATGGGGTAGTAGATATTTTTAACCGCCACTCACAGTAAGAATACATTGTTAATCTCAAAAGTTTCACAAATTACGTAAGTTCCATAATCAATTTATAAGATCGGGCGTTACCGTTCTTATCAAATTTAGTGATTGATTTTAAATTAACTTTCTTCAGCTCAGAATCGGACGAAAATGCAAAAATACGAAACGTGGTTTATTTTTTTTACATCAATAATTACTACTATATAATTAGATGAGGAATGCAGATTTTTATCCTGCGTTGAGAAAAGATAACTGAAATTTAAAGTTTTAATATTTTTGGTTCTCATATTATAGTTAGTTTTTATACTATATTCTGTGAATATATAGTAAAAACTCAATGATGAGTGCACAGATTGGATTGAAAACCACCTTGCTAAGTGTGATAATCATGGTATTTTATTACTAATTTTTTAATTTTTAATTTTTTTTTAAAAGAATATTAACAATGCTATAAACATTACTAATATTCCCCTTAACCAGTCGTGGTAAGCTTAAATTGCTTGTATTACGAGTGGTTCACGCCAGTAGTCCAATAGCGGATTCGAACCCACGACCTTTTTGAGTTCGTGGTCCGCGCCCTGCCATTAGGCTACTGTCGCTTCGCTGTACTACGGAAGACGCCCTTGTTTTTGTTATAGAATAAAATTGACAAAAAGTCACACAGTCCACCTGATGGAAAGTGGATGCTGTGGCCTATAGACAACTGCGTCTATCCGCGATTAGGAATCAAAATGCAGATGCGTTGTCATCCCTGAGGACTATAATGCCTCGTTTCCAGTAAAAAAGTCCTTGTTAAGATAACTATTGACAAAATACTGTGGAGGAGGAAACATATTCGATTTTTTGTGAACCGCCCGCGGTTTCATGAGATTTGAGATCGAGGGCAGTACTAAAGACATTGAATTTTATCAGCATCTTAAATCTCAACTGAGAGTTTACACGTTGGGCAAAGGTTACGTTTATGACTAATAACTTGTGTGAAGAATGCTATACTGCCTAAATAAGTAAAATTTATGGTTCGGTTTGAAAGACATTTATGCTCAACTGGAGTGATTATTTAAAAATGTTATTTAATCGTGGCGTTAGGTCGGTTTGTGTATTGCCTTGATTTTTTTTTTGATTATACATCGGATTGATTTTACATCGGATACATAATAACGCCATCTTTCTTCAATTGGTTTAAATATAACTACAAAAATGTTTACTCAATATTCATAAGATAACATAATGAAAAATATTATGTCCTCCTACCGAATTTCAGTTGCAAAGGAGACTAGCCCTCTCTGTGGGACAGGATTATTGTGCCCAAGTGTATGCGCGAACATGACCTCTCTATTTCTGTATATATATATATATATATATATTATTCATTTATTTATTTACACTTTATTGCACCTTAATAAAAAGGATTACTAGGGCGGACTTAATGCCATTAGGCATTCTCTCCCAGTCAACCCGAAACCGAACCGAAGAACTATATAAATATACTTAGTATATATATATATATATATATATATATATATATATATATATATGGCCGATGGGACGGCAAACTGACGCGATCGGAAAGAGATTAGGCGTAACGCCTTACATACCTTTCGACACTTCCCAACCAAAAACCCAAAAACTGATTTTGGCCCGACTCATAACTCGAACCCGGGAACCGGGACTCGGACCCGGGATCAACGAGGCAGTCCATGTACACTGTCTTACTAAACAATACTTACTAAATGTACATTGTGTCTTACATACTTTTCTGTTCCGTTAATTCGTTTCATTTTAAATTTGTAGAAGTAATTGCTACTTTTATTTTATTTACGTATTATAAATAAAATATTAATGTGATAGCGTATGTGTATATATAATAAACATACTTACAGCCAATCAACTTAAAAAAAAAACAAAGTTATAGATTCGTTTTCACAACTGAGAACAGAGTTAAGTTGAAATGCGTCATAGCCTGAATAATACGGGGTCTCTTACTCTTCGACTGGAACATAGCAGTACTACTTGATGGCAGAAGTTGATAAGAATTATCATACTATTAAGTAACTATGGACAGAAAATTTATAAAAGAAGCCCTACTTTTTAGTAAATTGGAGTATCTATTCCATAAAATAAAATGCCATATCCCCTCGTCTGTCCAAACGCCATATCCTGGCGTCTCAAATAATATGCGCATCTGTCAAACGCCATAATATGGCGTCGAGTGATAGCAAAAATATTCGTAACATATATATGATATATATATATAACATACATATATATATAACATATATATCTGTTATGAATAATCTGATAGCTTATTTAATAACGTTTCCATTGATATATGATTTTAATATACTTGGTATATATATGTATATATATATATATATATATATATATATATATATATATATATATATATACTTAGTATACCTGTTATATACTTAGTACTTCGTAAAGTGCTCGACAGATGCTTCATATTGGCCAAAATGACCCCGACATTCAAGTGGATATGTAGTTGTGAAGCTAATATCCGGAAATAATATCCGAGTTGGCATTACTTTTCTAACATTAGTTTATTTTTATTATATGTTTCCATCCTATTGACTTACTGTTTATTTATCCTGCTCCTTTATCCCCTAGATTTCCTTGAGAAACCCACGGGACAAAACAACGCAATAGATTTTCTTGTTGTAAAGGTCAATTTATTATAATTGTACTCGAACCTAAAAGTTTATATTGTTTACGTAGCAGAGCTCAAAATAGCAGTTTAATGATATTGTGTTTACTATGGTAAATATAAAGAACCGGAGAATTTTTTTACTATAAAAGAGTCATATTTTAGTCCTCAGGAGTGACAACGAATTTTAACTTTGATTCTTAATTGAGGACACATGTTGATATCTATGGGCTACAGCATTGACTTACCATCAGGGGGACTGTGTACTCTTTTGTCACCGGTAATATAGATTAATATTTTTTATAGAAAAAGCTTGAAAATATACTCTAATAAAATGTACGCTACATGGACTACATTGAACCCATTTTGTATTTTTCTACTATCTAAATAGATACATATTTAAATCTGTTCTAAATATAATTCCAAATTCAAACACGATGAAAGCGTTTTTCTTTTATAGGTATGAACAAAAGCCATTTGTACAAATAAATAAAATTGAATTCTCTGTCTGTAATTTCGAAATAATTGACTTCTACTAAGCTCAAAAGGTTATTGGCATACGATTGTAACATAATAAATTTTTTAAATGTTTAGATATTTGTCTCTCTGGGCTAATCTTCGAAATGGCTGGACAAATTGTGATGTTACTTCCAAGAGTGATCAGATCTAGGTTATGTTATATTCGAAAAAGGTGTATCATTTTTTGTAGTTCCTACAAACACACTCCAAATGGATAAAATAGTAGTGGTAGGACTACTAATCTCCAAAGTAGATACGTAGTCCTACCAACTAGTATGCGCTTATTGTTTGCGCTAATATAGCGTTAGTACTCATTAGTGTTAACTCGTGCATTGTAACCTGTGACTTGTGGTACAAAGCAATCGGACCTTAATACCGAGTATTTGCACAAATATTCGTTAAGACCTTGAATTCGAACTTAAGGATCCGAAGCTCAAAAATCATGTCTTACGTGGTAAAGCCAGCCAGCCGGCTCGACCGGGGAAGGACCACGCTCTCACAGAATACCAGCGTAAAATAGTAGCTTAATGTTGGTGTATTTCATGTGATGAGTGTAGAGAACAGGAGACACTTTTTACTGGAAACGAGGCATTCCATCTTAGCCCTCACGGGTGAAAACTGAAAACGCATCTGCATTTTGATTCGTAATCGAGGATAGATGTAGATGTCTATGGACCACAGTAACCACTTACCATCAGGTGGACTGTGTGCTCGTTTGTCACCCTATCCTATAAAAAATGTGACACACACACAGACTACTAGGTCAAACAAAATAGTTAATATAAACATTAAGGATATATTACACAATATACTACACTTATATGAACACAAATTTGGGGGATGTGAACTTTGGAACAATAAAAATGAATAGTAATTTTAATGTTTTTTTCATTACAGATAAAAGGCACGGCGGAAGACGGTAGCGGGGGTGTGGATGGAATTGAACGTGGGGACTCGCAGACGGCCAATGGTTCAATCTTCACGATGACACTCAAAAACAACCATCTCATTGTGGAGACTGAAGAGAGGAATGTGCGTACTGCTCGTTTCTACCTCGGGCTTTTAGTTATCAATCTAATCTAATCTAGGCCACAGTTTTTTATATAGAAATGGGGGAAACGAGTATGCGGCTCACCTGATAAATAGTGCCGACTGCCGCCCATGAACAACTGTAAAACCAGGTAAATTGCAGGTTAGCGTTAACGGCATTTCAATAGGAGTAAGCTCGTTTCTTGAAGGTCCCTAAATTTTACCAGTTCAAAAAAAAATAGGAAAATAAAATATCGGCACACTGGCAGTGTGTAAGTATATTTACACAAACATGTTTCAAAATACGTCTTTAAATACCTAGAATTTCGTACCGAGTTTCATGATTAAACCTATCTTAATGAGAACTATATAACAATATAGGTGTTATAAAGTCATTTTTATCACTCATTAACTCACTCATCAAAATCTTAAGATATTTCTAGGTGACATAGAAACGAGCACACAGTCCACCTAATGGTAAGTTGTTGTTGTGGTCCATAGACATCTACATCTATCCTCGATTACGAATCAAAATGTAGATGCGTTGACACCTGTGAGGACTAAGATGGAATGCCTCGTTTCCAGTAGAAAGGATCTCCGGTTCTCTACACTCACCATACGAAACACAGCAGCATATTAAATCAACAATTGATTTAAAAAAAGAGAAAGTTTTTATATTTCGTAGGCTCCTATTTCCTCCTGGATGGATAGACTCCAAAAAGTAGACTAAGAGAAAATTTACCTTCCATTGGCAATACGGCAAATGCTGTGCATTTAAGAGACGTCATGTCCAACTGTTGACTGATTTCAAGGAAATGATGATAATGACGTTTATTTTATTTGTTTATTTATTTAATTTACATGTTGAAAGTAACTACTATAATATATACTACTACTAGCCAATGATTTCAAAAGAAAGGATAGGCCCATCTAAATAATTTACTCATAACTTTTTCATACAAGAAAACCTAGCGCATCTGTCATAATACAAACGTCATATCAAAACACGACGTAACCAGGGTCGAATTTCGTAGTATAATTATCCTAATTGTCCTAAGTGTATCGTAATGATACTAAGCGAAAATACCATAGTTTTACCTAAAGGTCGACTTCTATTATTATTGGGTCCTTTTACATTTTAATATTAAACCTACGATATCGAGAATTTCTGTATTGTACATGTGTACTGCGTTTTTATAATAAAATTAGATTAGCTCCCTTTCTGGTCAATCGATGCTCTATCGATGCATTTATGTTGGATCCTTGATACAACTACAATGAGGTGCTACCATGATAAAAACTCTATGCTTCAGAAGCAATCGGTTTGAAAACAGAATTTCAAAATATTTTATGAACCAGATTTTCAGATTCAATTAAGCAGATATGGTTTCTGTTCGTCGGCGGCTGAGTTGCAAATGATGGTTAAATTAATGAACTGGGCATTAAAAGAAAAGGGAATAAAAGTGAACGCAAGTAAGACGAAAGTGATGGTTTTTGAAACAGAAATTAAACAGAAATAAAAATAAAATCTTCAAAAAACGAAACGTATAGATAAACTACACGCGTGACGCCAAAATTCCGGCACTTGGGGAAAATAAACAAAAAACGTCTCGATGTTTTTAAAATAGTATAATTTTATTTTCCATGTACAATATTTTTGAGGTTCTAAATCCAATCCTGGTCTAATCTTGGTAACGTAAAAACTAACTGTAAAACGAAACTTTAAAAATGCGTTTATATAATAATCTAATCGTAACAAAATTAATATAAGGTTATTTACCGATGATACGATATCCTATTTTTTTTTTCAAATCTTTTGTATCATAATTTTTGCATTCTTTTACCACGCAACTAGATATATTATATACTATATATTATATACTAAAGGAAAATCTGTTCTGCACGCGCACCACTGTCGACCGATTCGCGTTAGCCCTAAACTGAAATTTCAGGGCCAGCGCACTGGTCCATTTTAGTTGTTCGGTCGGCCCGGTCCTTACGCTGGTAATATATAAGTCAATGCTACTAGCCAGCTGAAGTGGCAAGGGGCCGGCTATATAGCTCGAAGAACGGAAAACCGATGGGAAGAAAGGTTCTTGGGTGGCAGCTTCGTACCGATGATATAGGGTGACCCCCGGTGGTGGAGTAAAAACCTGGTGAGACATGTAGGAAATCGATGAATGCAGGTGGCACAAAACCGTGCTCTGTGGCGTTCCTTGGGGAAGGCCTATGTTCAGCCGTGGACTTGTGAAGAGCTGTAATGATGATGATGATAAATTTAAAGTAACAGTTAATACAATTCAGTCAAAGAAAGCACTAGCACACCAGTGCAAAATACTTCGCAAACAGTTAAGGAAAACTGAATCCAAATATTCGAGAATAATTTCAAGGAAAACTTTGATCCACTCAGTGAGAACATTTCGGCACAGTTTCACTAACTTCTTATTAAAACGTTTATTTTCATAATGAGCTGGGTATACATGCATATTATCTGCACATATGCATAAAATGGTCATGTAGAAACAATGAATGAGGAAAAAGTGTCAAAACAAATTTATGTTGCAGAAGTGAACGGAAGAGTCGGAAAGGGACGCCCTAGGCGAAAGTTTATGGACTAAATTGGTGCTATATTGAAATGGACCAAATACAGAGTACCCTAAACCGACGAGCATGTATGTATCCTCGTCGATCGTGCCAAATGGAAGTCTGTAGTCTCTGCCTTCCCCTCTGGGTGACAGGCGTGAATGTTTTATATATATATATATATATATATATATATATATATATATATATATATATATATATATATATATATATATATATACGAAGTGCCTGTCTATAATATCGAAATAAGTTGTTTTTAGGTTACCTTTTATTAAGCTGAAGCCATTATTTGCTTGCCATTAAGACATGCATGACTATTATTAAAAATTTTGTATGTCGTATGTCGGTCTGTCCGCTTGTCTGTATCCGGGCTAATTTTATATTAAAAAATATTTTAACAGTATAGTTGAACCGATTGTAATTAGAGTTAAACTTGATTAGCAGATAGAGAAACAAGAGTAATATAGGCTAAATTAAATAGAGAACAAAGAGTAATCTAGTCTAAATTTCATCCGAAAAAGTTAGCAGTTTAAATTTGCTGTGTTTTGTGCGGTAACGAGGCATTGTTCCTTTGTCATCACGAGTAACAACGTATCTACATTTTGATTCTAAATCGAGAATAGATGTAGGGTGTCTTAGGGCTACAGCCTCCACTAACCATTAGAAGGATTGTGTGATGGTTTGTTACGCCTTTAAAGTGATAGCCTATATACGTCCCACAGCTAGGCACAGGCCTCCCCTCATTTATGAGAGGGTTTAGGGCAAGGAAGTGTCCGCCGCGCTGCCCCATTGCGTGGTTGGTGAACTTCACATGTTTCTTTATTCCTCATATATGCAGATTTCCTCACGATGTTTTCCTTCACCGCCGAGCACGTGGTAAATCGGCACTTAAAATTGCAATTAATAACTTCATTGGTGCCAGCGGGCATCGAAACCGGGTTATTCGCGTTCTGTTATATTTACAGCGAGCGTTAACCATCTGAGCTACTACGGCTTTTCTGAGCTACCACAGCTCGCTTACGCTTTTCTTTAATAAAAAAAACTTCTAGTTGGCTAGTGTATGGAAGACGATAAATACGTGACTTATTACCGAATCACATGAATAGATAAACGGAATCAACTCATGTGCCCATTACTCAAACGCTGCTCAATTTACAGATGTCGTTAAGTCTCGTGCGGTCTCTATCATTGTAAGTTAAAGAGACTGCGACACCACGAGCCTTATTTTATAGGATAGGGTGACAAAAGAGCACACAGTCCACCTGATGGTAAGTGGTTGCTGTGGCCCATAGACATTTACGTCTATCCTCGATTACGAATCAAAATGCAGATGCGTTGTCACCCGTGAGGACTAATATGAAATGCCTCGTTTCCAATAAAAAGGGTCTCCGGTTCTCTACACTCACCATACGAAACACAGCAGCATTGATATGCTATTTTACGCTCGTATTCTGTGAGAGCGTGGTCCTTTCCCGGTCGAACCGATTTTCTATATTCGTGCTACTACTATACTACTAATATAAATGCAGCATGGCGCTACCACAAATCTTAAAGTTGAGTAACGTTTGTGTATTCAGCCAGTAGCTTGCCTATATGCTGAGTTTGGTCATTAAAGCCAGTGGTTCTACCGCGCATCAGAGAACACTTTTATAAAAATGGTACTCGTAATACGAAAATTAGAAACTGCTTTTTGCATTTATTTTTAGAACGTAAAGTTATGCAGCTGACTTCATTAGCATATCGTTATGCAAACTAAGGCGACCTCCTTATTAGCTGTTCGAGCAAAGTTTACTAATCATTGAATAAAACCACTTTCACAGATGTTATCGCGTTTAATTTTACTTGTTTTAACTCCCGACATTTCGTGTGGAGGAGGAGAGACAACTAAAATTAAATGCAATTAAAATCCGTAAAAGTAGTTTTTACTTTGTAACTTATCATTTACACCTGCATTAAAAAGATATTTTTTAATATTAAATCAATATATCTTATAAAACTTAAGTCAATTTATTTTAATAAGAATATGTTTGGGTACTTTGCACATATATTTGCAACAATAATCACATAGTTTAGTAACATAATACCGTGCACATTTGCTGTTAGTATTTTTTAACGAAACTGACGTGACAAGCAAACTAATGATCCACATGATGGTAAATGAAAACTGCAGCTCATGAACATCTAAAATCAAGTAATTTCAAACAAAGAATTCTCAAGAGAAGACTCTGTTGTCATCTGAGGACTGAGGGGTGAAATGAATGATTTTATTCAATATAGATTATAAGATAATACTTATCAATTTTTTTTATTTACAAATGGCTTTGAAAATACCTCTGCCCTGAAAAAAGCCCTGTCCAAGAAATCCAGCGGGATTTTTGTTTAACATATTTCACTTTACA